CACCACTTTTGAGAGTGAAAAATGCCGGTAATGCCAAGCAGCCTGGTCTTTTGTTCGGAGTACGGTCTTTTGTTACAGGGCCCTGTTTCTTCTGTCCGAGTTTGGAGACCCCGGCCACGCATATAAACCATACAGCTCTGATTTCGGAGTCCCCGGCTGGTAGTGGATAAACAATACCCGAGGAGTAAGAGTCAAGGCAAAAGTTTCTGAGAGCAAAAAGGAACAGCGGTGGTATCTAAACGTCCATGAAATTGATTTTGTTATGTACATGTTTCGTCAATTTATTCATAATGAGGCTCACCGTTGTCGAGTCGGCCAGCCTCAGCTCGGCACACCTGACACTTCCAACACAGGAAAGGATGCAGGCAGCCTGGATGCCTTTCTCCTCTGCCAACCTCCTCAGGGATTCCTTTATCTCATCCCCTGGATGCAGCCTAAGAGCTAGACATCTCAGGGAGGAACTGTTGACCTTTGGTGTTCTGAGTGGCTGACCTGGAGTAGACTGTCCCTGGCTAGACAACCTTTCTGCTTTGGCATACTACAGATAATAAAAGAGAAACCTTGATCAAGATTCTCTCCTGCATGTGTTACATTCCTATGCCCGCCCAAATTAAATGGAGTCATGCTATAGTTTAATTATTACATGAACGGCTACTGCACAATAAAAAGTTCTGGAAGAATCACCTGTATACGTGTACTCATAAACTGTGTGTAATCTTACAATGTATAAATGTGTACAAAGTCAAAGAAGAAAGCTTAAGAGAAAACTCAAAGATTCAGGATCAGATAACTGGGAAATTGGTTTATTTCTGTCAATCTTATCTAATCCTTAAACAGAGAAAAGATACATTTCCCGAGTATTGACAATGAAGTAATATCACTGCTAGGCAAAGGGTACAGCCAGTCAACCCCATCATTTGGTGGCTGACCATTCCACAAATCTAGCAACGTACCTGGCCTTCCTCAATACCAACCGGCCTATTAGCTGCATGACAATCAGGCATAGTGCGGTTGACCGACTGGTCACTTCCCTGTGATGGCTGGTCGTGATTTGAATGATGCTGCATGTCCGAATGGGCCAGTCGAACGGGGTACACCTTGGATGATTGAGATGACCTCCCTGAGCTGTTTTGCAAGAACATCTGAAAAAGACAAATGCACCAGGGGTATGTATACTAGCAGGTCAAACATACTGGCATCAAGTTAAAAAATCCATCGTGAGTTTCTCTCTGTAAGACCAGAAAATGTAATGGATGCTTCTTAATACACATCTACTAATGAGTTGAAAGCATAACTCACAGCCTTTCTCCTGTTAAAAACAAAGTCGAGATTTCATCTACAGGAGCATCTATTAAGTCATTATGCCAAAGAACATTCCGATGACACTGCTTATTCGAAACAGAGACACTTGAGACAGCATATTCTCTGGGAAAATATGGCAAAAAAACGCAGCAGAAATAAACGTTATTCCTTACAGGAACATTCCAGTGGGAGCAGGAATGTTTCAACTTTTTGAAAGGTCCCATACATAATCTTTACTGCACAAAAGCATAAGGAATGCAGGGTGCCAGATGTACTACTCTGACAGTGGAAGTGTACACAAATGCCCTTTCTTATTAGCCACTTAAAATGTGCATGTAACATTTAAAATGCATTCACAGTACACGTATCTGCATGAGAAAACTGAAAAGAAGTTTACAAGTCAACTTCACTGCATAATGACAACGGGCAGCTCGCTGCAGTACCACAATTTCTTTTGAGTTGTAAAAGTGATGCTGAGAAGGGCAATGGTTCTACACTTGAATTAATGTATCACTGTCATCATCAAAAAGTTTGGAAATTTAACCTGCCCTGTTTAAAGTCTGAGCTCCTCACCTCAAACAGTCGGACCTCGTGCTCCTTGCTGAGTCTTTCCCTTCGCTCCTCGGCCGCCGACATCTGCTCCAGGAAAGACCGATTCAGCTCCAACACCGTGTCCTTCATCCTCTCCATGTTCTCCTGGTTAAGCTGCTGCAAGGCGGCCAGGCTTGTCGCCCCGGACTCTGCTCTCTTCCTGTCTGTGTACGTCCTGTGAAGCTCCGGGGAGTAGATGTGAGGGGCCAACACTCTCTCTGGGCCATGACTCTGTGTGGTGTCTCCCGAGTCGTACTCACGAGGCTCGACATCACTCAAAGTAGCTCCATCTGTCCAATATGCAATATCAGTTGTGAAAACATTACTAAATCTTGAATTATAGAAATTTGTGAGCATTATTCAGGGGTTTAGATAATTTCACTCAAGCCAAGAGTACAATACCCATTTCCTTGCTTGGAGTAGAGTACTCTTTTGCCCTCAGTATTGTTTAGTCTTGTACCCTTCTTCATGAGAGGCAGAGTGCTATACTCCCTAAGAGGAGTACCAGTGCTATGTGAGCTAGTCCTTTTGCCTTAGTAAATATAAAGATACTTGTTATTTATCTTAAAAACACAGTAAAAAATCAGTGCTTAGGGATAGCCATGAACTCATGACACCGTAGACAAAAATCACATAACTCTGTATCCACCCGTGTACGGTGGCACATGTGAAGCTACTGCGTGCGGACATCATGTAGACCGGCCTCCTTATGCACACGCCTGGCAGTGGCCATTTGGAAAATCAAAGTGCACTTCATCACTTGGTCGTCAAATGCGCTCACACTCACAATCTAAACCATGTAAACCTCAAGGTGTTTCAGACAAAAATGATACGTAGTTTATCAAAGATGTACAGGAAAGCCTCTAAAATGCCACTTGAAAAAATGCCCCTCTTTAGCGGATTAAAACTTGCTGAAAACTTCATGTTTTTTTCACGGAACTTTCAATGAGGAGTTCTGACAACTCAAAACCCTATCCATCAATGAAATTAGTGTGGTCCCCGCAGGTTACAAATTAATTTTACTGCATCGTGTCTTCGGGGAGTCTGGTGACCAAGTTTCTGTACACAAAAATGATCCATGTGCACAACGCTTGTGCAGTAGCCCATTTCGGGCTACTACTGCATTCTAAACACAAAACCTACATGCACATGTACATGTAACGTGCTTTGCTTTGGGTCTTTCCCATCAATTCAGGATTTTCTGAATAATTTATCATGGTTATGCATGGAATAGCAAGCTAAATTCAGAAAAACATGAACAAACGGTTTCAGTAGCATCCACTACAAATGTTAATATTAAGGGACAAAGTACACATCCTAGAACCTCCCGCTCTAAACTACAAGTACCACACTATTTTCACATGTTTGTTAAACTTCTCAGTAAAATTTACCAATGCTGCAGCCATCATTTAATGTGCCATTGTCTTCACCATCTTTATTCTCAGTGGGGAATATTTCTCCTTCGTGCCCACCAAACTCTCCAGGATTGTTCTGGTAATCCTGGCCCCAGACCCTCTCCAGCTCCTCAAAGAAGAGACTGGACTGCCGGCTGACAGACCTGCTGCACCGGCCGTTGCCCAGCTTGAGCTCACGGAAGCCCTTGCGCAGGTTTTTGGTCTTGTTCCTGCACTGGGCCGGGGTCCGGTAGACACCGTGCTCCCGCAGTCGTTGGCAGATCTCGTCATAGACCGTGTTGTTTCTGAAGATGCTCCTGAGTTTCCGCTGTATGCTGGGGTCTCCCCAGATGGAGATGAGGTGTCTGGTGTCTTCAACAGTCCAGATTTCACCACGTCCACTGTCCTCATGAGGCTTAACATTAGCTTTCACATCCTGGGTGGCCATCTACATGTACATTTGCATTCATGTGTTAAAACCGAAGAGATCAGATAAAATATGCAAAGTACACTAGATGATCTTAAAATTCATAACCAGTCCAAGAGAACTGCTTTGTGCACTAAATTAAGCCATTTTTGCTAGAGTACATTGTAACTGTGTTCATGTTATTGATATACATGTACATGTAGAGCCAAAAAGGGGAAACTTCATAGGCAACACAAGGGTGCCACTACATGTACATGTACATATCCCCCTCCCGGAAAATATTGAAATTAAAATGAAAAAGTGAAAAAAGAGATATCAGAGAAGATAAAAATCACCAAGTTGCTTGAAAAAAAAAACCAACAACATGTATTTCGGAACTAACCCCCCTCCAGCATACATGTACATGTAACAGAGGGATTACACTTTATGTTTTCAGTGGTTCCTTGCTATGTTAAAGGAAAAGCTATGGTTGGTCATTAGAAGGGAAGTGTATTGGGCCAATCATTGTGCGGCTATCATTTGCTGTTGACAGGAAAGCAAGAAGGAAAAGATAGGAGCTGTGTTGCGACTGGTCAAACGGTCATGCTGCTGAGAGTGATGGAGAGAACACATGAGCGTGGATGGGCAAAACAGTCATGAATTTCACCATTTTAATAATATAAGGGGAATAAACCTCCCTATCAGTCATCTTACCTCACCAAGATGCCATGTATAAAATTTTGTTGCACAGATATACATGTGTGTGATGGCAGATTAAGTTTGCGCAATCAAAACAGCTAAACCTGTGTTTATGCGAGCTTGTATGCCACTTCATGTACATGTATCTGTAAGGTTTGTATAAATCTATTCTCATGGTTGGACATCCAGGAACTTCAGTACATTATTCAAAAGCACAAAGGGTAAATTTTCCCCTTTGCTGCGTGCTGAAAGTCTGTATGTAGTCAGACATCATGTTGACTGCAAGAATCAGTTCTGGCATGTCTGGAAGCACAGTGTACATGTAGCCTAGGCCAAGATAGAAATTTAATTTTTGTTTGAGAAATCCCAGTAATTTTGGCGGAAAAAAATGGTGCATTTTGACTTCACATCAGCAGTTGTGTACAAAGTCTAGGGGAGTGAAGAGAATTTTCCCAACAACATCGGTAAATTTTTCTCAGTCCAGAATTTGTGTCTTCCCAAGTCCAGCATTTCTGTAATGACTGACTTTTATTGAGATGATATACCTACGATGAGAAAAGTGGAGTCAGGATGCAACATACAGCCATTTCGGCTTCCATTCCATTGACAAGATTGATGATATTGAGCCCTGAACTGTTGACGTGTTTGATTTTGTACTGTTTTCATGTTCACTAGCACTGCACCCCATTGGCCTACTTCCAGAACTGTACAGCAGGTATAGTAAGGTTTAAACCTTACAATTCTGGACGTACATGTACTGTGAGGCGCGGCCTACACATAGGCCTAAAAGCATGACAAGTAAAACAATACAACGAAGGTGATGACGCTGATCATGCCTACATGTACATCATGTACTTTCACACACAGTGACACACGCCTAGGCTACTTCTTGTAACATTTTAAAAATGGAACGAAATGTTCGCCTGTGCCTAGTTACGATACAGACACATGAAGAGATGACTATTGTTTCCTCTTCCAATTTTCCCTGGGAACCTACATACACGACAAGTACCTTTAGGCTTTATTTTCTGCAAGTTCCTGGTCCGCGGTCGTCCTCAGCTCAGCGAAAGCCCGAATTTCTTTCTGTTTCATTCATGTCATTGTCCAACATTAACAGGCCATAGAGGGCGTACTACTTCTGTGGCAGAGGGTAAAAGGAAAAAATCACATGGGTTTCTAGCTCCAAACGTCTAGTCCCTGCACTGTCAGTCTTTTAAATTAAATCTCTTTGTATCTAAAGGGCCCAACTAAAATTAAATATCCAAATAATACATCACATATAGGGAGTACGCCTGCATGTCAAACTGTCATGACTCCTGTGTGCTATCGCGACAAGTCGCTGCTGTGCGGGGACTTTTATGATCTTCCCTCCGCTCCCTGATGAGAACGTGGAGATATTTTGAACACAAGCAAGACTCAACATATATACATGTAGCTCCTGCTTGTAGATCTGCTATCATTTCAATTGAGTACTTCTGGTATCCATGCTCAGTGTCAGTGAGTGAGCAATGAGTGATCAGATTCAGCATATTCATGTTCAGAAAGCATCAACTTCAAGATGTGGCCTGGAGCCAAATGTGGCACTCAGTCACAGTCAAGAGAAGGAGCAAATTGGGATCGGATTGATAGAACTTCCCGACGTGATTCTGTGGCAGATTTTGCGACATACTTCATATGAGCACATGAGTGAATTGAGACTGGTATACTGTCATGACTGTTGCTAACTTAAGCTGATTGGTCAATCTAGACAATTGACTGTACTACCCTGTAGCTAGCAGTAATCCCCATCATATTGGTCAATTCTGATAGAAATCTCAGACATTTTTCATGTTTTTATTCTGTACAAATTTACGACACACATTTCTGCCTATCCCTAGGCAACGCAACTACACAATGCGAAGGCATGACAGCCGCCTTGCATCATGCCGTTGCTTTGTGCCATTGCCTTCTTGCCTGCATGTTTGTACACACACGGCGCCTCGCCTCGTGCATCACATCGTGCCTTCGCCCGTCATGTCATGCTGTCTTATGTCCTTTCCATCTTTCTTACTTTTCTACGTAAACATCACTCCTTCCGTCACCTGGTTTGTCGCACCATTGCATGTCTTATCGTGTGTTGCAGTGTGCATCGTGTCGGGCTTCAGGTGACATTATACGTAACATGACACAATGCACAACACGACATACGATGGTGCGACGTGACGGGTAACGGAGTGAGCAACAACTTTTGCAAACCAAAAGAACAATAAGACAGCATGACGCAACAGGCAGCGGCACAATGTGACGCACAACGCAACGCATTGTTTGTGTACAAAAGTAATGACAATGGCGGGACGGAACAGCGCGATCCCAGGGAGCCAACGTGCAGTAGTGCCATGTACATGTAGTCGCATCGCCTACATGTAGGAATAGGCAGAAATGTGTGTCATAAATAGTGTATTGTACCCTGTCAAAAATGCCTTTCACAGGCAGGAATTAAGAAAGGGGAATTCCATGTGAAAGATCCAGTTTACATGTCATCATGCTGTTAGTGACCTCATTATGAATCATGATTTAAAATCAAAAAGAAGTTTAACTAGTAAAAATGCTAGACAAATCAAAGGCAGTCACGCTTGTTATTTTAAACTGTGTCTTTTTTCATTAGCTTCTCTTTGTCAAAGAATTACCAATGATAATGAGGTCATTAAAAGCAAGACCAACTTTTAAATTTGCCATGAAATTGCCAAAATGTTGATTGGCTAAAAATCAGTAATGTATCAACAGTTCAGGGTATGTGATCAGCTGACCAGTCACTGGTTGATTGATCTTGCAGATAAACGAGTCTCACCCAATAATGTCCCACAATGCAAATGTTCTGGCCCTAACTGACTTTGTTAACAGGCCTCATTGGTTTGCCTTATTTTTGCAGGCTACATGTATTAAACATTGAAAATGATGTACATGTAACTCCAACCCTAATGCTTATGGCATCGAAATTCCTAAATTACTTACGGGTACATTTGTAATACCATCTGTACTCCTCCCTTTTAAAGCAGTGAGATTTTCCTGTCATTGTGTTAAATTGATTCTGAAGGTATATGGCAAAATATTTCAGTTTCTTTCATGATTTGCAGCACTGGAATATTTTTAATGAAAAAGTCCGATTGCAACCCGAATTTCATCTCATGAATACAGATTCACACTTGTCAATGTAAGCATGGAACTAGAAAAAGACTTGCTCTCAGTAAAATTTCTAAGCACGCAGGTCAGAAATCCACTGCCAAAATTAAAATGATTTCATCAAAGCAGCATTCACGTGACAACTATCGATTCATTCAGAACCCAATATCTAGATACAAGATTACATGGAATTCACTGTTACCTCACTGTTGTCATAATGATGAAACCTCAATATTAAACTGGTCACAAACGTGAAGTTACAGAAAAACAATTAGAAAATTTAAATTTCCAATGACCTTCATATTGCCACTAAGTAATCTGCAGGCTGTACGCAATTGACCCACCCGTTACTCCCCGCATGCTGAAATTAAAAAGAAAATTTTCAGCAGGTTTTAATGTGGAATCTTGCAACAAAGAAGTGGTGCTAAATTTTCATATCATGAATGCAGTCATAATGTATTGTAATGCTCTCATGTTTTGAATACTTGTTGCTTTCTTATGCAGGTTTGCCGTCGTTTCAACCGTGTGTGCCAAGACATGCTCAGTCAAGGCAGTCGGCTGCTGAGCCGCTACCACGCCAAATGTTTTAAGAGCCTGAAGGCGCAGTTGCCCAAGCGGGAGTCAGAGAGGCGGGAACACCCCCTGGCCAAACGCTGCGACATACTGTCAGCGGTTGAGACACGGCTCTCACTTCTGTCAATGACCTACAGCAAGTACATGGATCTGCAGCTGTGCTGTTTCATCCCTGGCAAGGTAAAGTCCGGTGTCCATACATGTGTGGTTGTAACACCGACTGCACGCAAGACGTCAAGATGAAGACGTTAATGGGAAGAGGCTGAGTGATGTCATTCCACCCAAAATTTATATATATATTAAATGTAAATAAAATGACGTTTGAAAATAGGAAAAGTTTTCCATAAAATGCCCTTTTTTAGGTGGTAGTAATACCCCTTAAAGCCAAACTATTACTTTATTTATGTTTTGCTGTTTTGTTGACAATTGGGGCTACATATGTTATTAGTAAGGAGAAAATTGGCAAAAAGAGTGGCTCTAAGCGAGGGAACATCACTGTACACCCATTATGCCAGCCTGCATGTTTGTATAGACCTGCTCTGGCAACTCAACTCAGTTGGCAAAGCTGAACCAAGTTCGGTTTTGCTGACTGCTGCTGTCCCTGTTTGCGTCAGTTGCAACAAAGTGTTTCTGTATGATTGTGTATGGACATGATGGAGAGAAACCGATCGGCGACACTGTGCGTCTCTTTACATCATTATGGAAACCAGGTTTTAGCAAATGGGCTGTGAAGAATTAGGATATTGACTGCTTCAATCGATGTACAATGTGGTTGAACTAACCTCCAGAGCCTGGTGATCTGTTGAACACTTTGGCCGCACGAAAATGGATTGTTCAGTGGATCACCCATACATGTACATGTTAGGCTGGTTTAACTGTACCATAAGTTACATGAACATGTTATAAGGTTGTCAATATTTGTTTCACATCTTGTCATTCTTGGATTTCGCATGGGTTACTGATTATAGCCAAAACTATGTAGTTTTGTAGTAGAGTCCTCAGTCCATCACAAGTCCATCTAAATTAAGCTGTGTACATGTACCTGTATGTGTACATGTAGTTGTAAAGCCTGGTTTCCATATTTTCAAAAAAAAGGTAATCCAACTTTAAGGGGTTACTACGACCATACTATATACATGTACCTTTCAGCAATGATCATGATATCATGTTATCACACTAAAGTACATGTACATTGTACATTACATGTAGAGATTATGACTTTTAAGATGGCACAAAGGTTTGATTGAGCACCATCACCCAGAAGTTAAGGTGCAAAAATGTGGTTGGTTCACTTTCGTGACCAAGCTTGCTTGATGGCCAGAATTAACATGCCAGGCCTTTTGAATAAACCCCATTGCATAACCAGGCAGGAAATTATTCACAATCAAGGTTTGGCAGTTGGTCAAGTGAAATGCGACAAGGCTCAATAAGTGAACCAATGCAGTTTTCAATCCATTGGTATTCACTTATGCAGTAACATGATTAGGCAAGAAAGGTGTCATTTGAAAGCTCTTCAATTTGATTACTGCGGCCCTCAAAATGCTGTGTGAGATTCCATGTAGCTACATGTATGTATATTAACCCCTTGAAGTTGGAATACTTGTTTTAAACATCCTGTAAACATGTATGGTCATAACAAATGCCGACTCAGTGCAAGACGTCAAGACGCAGGCAGTCATGGAAGAGACGCCGCATGACATCATTCCATCAAAAAATTAAACAAAATGGCGTCCAAAACTTTGAAAATTTCCGCATTGGTCAACTTGTGCTGTAGGTGCTGTTCATTTATGAGCACTTTCTCATGACTAACAAGCAGAACAACTTGAAGACTAGAGTCATAATGTGCCCACTGCAGCACCCACCCAAGTACCCTATGGGTTGGCATACTTGAAATCCCTTGAGGGCTCTCACCACTCATGCAAACTAATACATGTACATCTGGAGGGCCATGGATTTCTGCTGGTAACCCCTTCCACCATTTGAAATTTTGGACTGTACACAGCCTGTGTGCAAGCTGCCATTTATTTACTGTCAGTGTCCCCCTTGAAAAAAATGTATGCACCCAGGATGCCCCCTCAGAAATTTCACCCTAGTTATGCCACTGGAGTGCTCCCATGTTGCCTCTCATGTGGCATTTAGTAGGCTGGTTCAGGAAAGTAGTAAGTGCAGACGAAAAGTTGATGATGCCAATTTTGTGCATTGTCAAAATGTATTAAACTTTCACAAATTTGTTGCATATGGACTACATGTATATTTGCTTTAATGTTACACTTAATGCATTGCATTGACTTTCACACCAAGTATGAACTAGTCTGTAATGCGACTGACCAATAGCTGACAAAATAAGATAAATTCACCCATTGTCTGTTTTTTTTCCCATCAGGTTATTGATGAAGCATTCGCAGTTCTTCACCACGTGCAACATGCCCAGGATCTTCAGCCGATGTCTGAGCTCCTCAAAGAGTTGAGAGATATCTCCTCTATGGCCATCGAGCACTTTGATGAAGAAATTGTGCCAACTCTCAAGAAGAAGAGAGCCTATCAAGGGCCTCCAAGCCTACCAGGGGAAGGTATTGTCGACTGTGATGAAGTGGCCATGTTTTGAGTTGGTCACACTCCATGTTGAATACATTTATTTGTTCTTGTACACCAAAACACGATAAGCTAGAATTCAGTACTCATTTACGCTCGGCCTAACTAGAATCTGCAAGTTGTGATTGATGTTGCTGGCATTTCTTGATAAAAATTAAACCTACCCTTCCTCAATCCTTCAAAATCTTCTGGACGGTTTTGGAGGATTTTTGAGGATTCATGGCAAAATTGCATTGCTGATTGAGAAGGATACATTGCTGATTGAGAAGGATGCATTATCTCAAGCTTGTGAGTAGACCTTGTGTTGTTTATGTTCAGCCGTGCATAAATTTATGCCCACATTATATGTAACCTTCTATACTGCTCCAGGCTACCATGCACACTATCTCAACATAATGAGAGGAATTTGGAAGGATTGAGGCAGTGGGCACTCCACAAAACATATTCAAGAAATATCGGAGGATATTGAAAAGCTTAGGGTATATCCTACACATAATGTGCCCAGACAGTTAAAGTTAGTTAACCTTTTCCATTTTGGGCTGCTCACCACCAGGCATGTCCTTGAATCTGCCAGAGTCAAGAGAGTGTTCAACCAAAAAGTTAATTTGTCATTCCATCCATAACGTAACGAATAAGTAGACGTGTTTCCAACGTCCATACGGCATGGCAGACAGCACACAAAATTACCATGCCCTCTGTGTAAGAGTGCTGCATGCAGCAAGCATTCCAACAATGGTGTGGTCAGCTTAGCCTCTGGGTATGATTCCCAGTCTTGAGACCGCTTTTTCCTGGTCTTGGTCTCGGTACCCTGTGGTCTCACTCTCGTTCCCCTGCGGTCTCAGTATTTTGCTGGTCTCGGTATTGAGACCATCAATATTGCATACAAACGTGAACTAGCAGTCATTGTGCAGAATCGATTACACTCGATTCAAGATCGTTTGTACACTGTAGAGCAGTATTGCTGTCATCAGAAATATAGAGTATGTAATACAACTTCGTTTTTTTCTGTCCGCACACGTATGCCAAGTCTTAACATGTAAACCTGCATGCTAATTTCGTGTCTGGGAACGAGGTAGCAAAATGCATGAATTACACACTGTATTATGATGGGGGCATGTGGCCAAGTGGTTAGGGTCTGTGGCTTCCAATCATAGGGTTGGAGGTTCGAATCCAGCTGCTGGCAGCATGTTGTGGCCCTTGGCAAGCCTCTTCACCCCTGTTTGCCTCTCCCCACCCAGAAGTATAAATGGGCACCAGCATTAGCTGGGGAAGCAATCTGTGATGGACTGGCATCCCATCCAGGGGGGAATAGAAATATTCTCAGTCGTTTCATGCCAAGGAAACCGGAGATAAACACCGGCCTGATGAGCCAGATATGGCATGGACCAGACTTGCTTTTTTTACACACTGTGTAATGAGGCAGCAATCAGCGGCATATGTGTGCTTCCTATACATGTACAGACACCATTGTTTCTTGATGCTTGTTAAATTCTTCATGTGTGTTGCTCTGGTGATTATTGTGCCATTGCGATAAAATTCTGCCTCTGCGCTGTTTTTGACATCGCCACACAACCTGACAAGTAATTGGAGATGTCATATAAATCTGCCGTTATATGCTTTGGTTCTAAAGACCACAAGGAGTACATGGACGGCAAGGCTGGCAACAAAACACTCCGCAGTGTGTAAATTCTGTCCTGGAACGAATCGGATTTCAGAGAGATTTGGAACAACTTCAGCATTTACAAGGCACATGAACAGAACAACATGACATGTATTTGAGTGTAGTTTGAGTCTTGCTAATTTCTTACTTTTTACTAGTTCATTCTAATATTTTGACCTCAAGTGCATAGTCAGCTGTTTTAGCCAGGTTGCTGGGACCAGCTGGCTTCATACCTCAATGGTGCTGGATTTTGTTGGATACAACAGAGCAGGGTTGCCTCGAGAAAATTATAAACGTCAGGGATTAAGTTATTGTTGATTAACTTTAGTAATGTTTCAGGTCTACAAGGAAGCTGTCTTTATATCAATAAAAAGTTGTATTTCCCTTTATTGCACATGATACATATATTTGTAATTCTTTTTAAAGTTTTTTATTGCATAGTTTACATACAAGGTCTCGGTCTCAGGCCTTCAGGTCTCGGACTTTAAAGTCTTGGTCTCGGACCATCAGGTCTCAATCTCGGACTTCCATGTCTCGACTACAACACTGATGATTTCCATGTATGTGCTCAGACTAGCATATATTCATGTCTGAAATGGGGAATCACCTGGCTTTCCTTTATGAAGGCATCCAGCGATCTGCTGCAAGACTGTGCTATTACATGTACAACTATGACAGAGAAGCACGCATCACCACTTTATGCTGCATGATCTAGGTTGGCCACTACTTCAGCTCAGAAGAGTAACATCCTGATTAATAATGTTCAACAAAATCACCCGTGGACTTCCTATTAACCAGAATATAACGTTGCAAACAACACATCACAGATTGCATCACTACTCTTGCCATCACCCCCATGAAAAAAGCAGGATATGCAGTACCAGTTTCTTCCCATCAATCATACTGCATTAGAATGTTCTACCTGAAACTATTGTCAATATAACCCATCTTGATCATTTTAAGACTGCTGTTGCCGATCGACTAGACCTATGTGTACTCTAGTTTGATGCAGATTAACTGCTTTATTGGAGTACCTTGATGTACATGTAGATGTACCGATGTAGGCTGTAATGAGCGGGATCTGACAGTGCCATTTGAAGAAGTTCTTAGCCTTTAAACATTTCCTTACTCAGTATTGGAATGTTCGTATCCTTTCATATATGACCTTGTTTTATCTACTTCAGTCATTTGAACTGTCAGTAGTTTCCATAGTGACTATGGTACATCTTTGTGTAGGTCTTGCTAGGCACAGAGCACTTTCCATCAAAATGCAGGATTTTCTTCCTGTAAGGTTTTGTGCATTCATTACTATTCAACAACAAAAAACCTACTGCTACCCATAGAGTGTAGCAGTGCAGTACATATTCCAAGATGATTTGCCATGCCCATATCTCTTGTGTGCTTACACCACGGAAGGCATTCAGGAAGGGCAAACCTATGGCACTATTGAACATGACTCAGATGTTCATGATTTTATGCATTCGCACTGTCTGGGTGCTCGTGTATAGAGGGGCTTGTGGGGTACCGGAACAATGGGAAGTACCCCATAGGGTACTTGTGAGGTACCGAGACGGTACCCGACAAGGATTTCACGAAATAGATATTTCAAATTTACTCAAAAAGGAGGAATTTTCAAAAGCCATTCATTTGTCGCAAGATTTCATTTGTCGCAAAATGAAGTATTTTAAATGAGGGACGTTCAGTCGAATTTCCAAAGTAGGAAAGTGAATCTGGTTCAGATGGGAGTGATTTGAAATTTTTGCATGTTGTGTGGGAGTTTTGTACACGAGAACAAAGGAAATACCCCACAAGTAAAGCTGTGTAAGGTTGTGCGTGCGAGTTTGTTTCTGCAT